ACAGGGTTTCTCCCTGTAGTCCCAGCTGTCCTGGAATTCACTCCAGTAGCTCAGGTTGGCCTTGAACGCAGAGATCCGCCTGCCTCTCTGCCTCCTGAGTACTGGGATTAAAGGCGTGCACTACCACTGTCTGGCTCCATGTCTGTTCTTTTTCTTTTCTTTTTAAGATTTATTTAGTTATTTATTTTATGTGCACTGGTGTTTTGTCTGCATGTATATCTGTGTGAGGGGGTCAGAGTTACAGGCATTTGTGAGCTGCCATGTGGGTTCTGGGAATTAAACCACCCAGGTCCTTTGGAAGAGCAGTCAGTGCTCCTAACCCCTGAGCCATCTCTCTCGCCCCTCCCTTTATGTTCTTCACAGGTGTTGGCTGACAGTATTTACAAATTACTGACTAAATGGGATCCGAATGCCATCTATAAGACCTGACATAGGCCACAGAGACGGCTCGGCAGGTAAAAGCACTTGTGCAAATCTGATGTCCTGAGTTCAAGTCCCGGAACCCACATGAAAGTGGAAGGAGAGAACTGACTCCTCAAATTTGTCCTCTCACCTCCACATGTGCGTACATATGTCCATCTGTAGTAATAGGAGTGGTGGGGCTGCGTCCCCAGCACCCCGGCCGCCTGCTAGCTTATGCCCGAAATAACAACACACAAACTGTATTCATTTAAACACTGCTTGGCCCATTTCTATCTAGCCTCTTCTAGGCTAATTCTCACATATTAATTTAGCCCATTTCTAATCATCTGTGTAGCACCGCCAGGTGCGCTTACCAGGAAGGTTCTAGCCTACGTCCATCCTGGGTCGGAGCTTCATCACATATGTCTGCCCGGGAGAGGGGAGCATGGCGTCTCTGAGCTCACTTCCTCTTCCTCCCAGCATTCTGTTCTGTTTACTCCTCTCACCTATGTTTTAACCTATCAGGGCCAAGCAGTTTCTTTATTGCTTAACCAATGAAATCAACAGATTGATCTATGACACTCCCACATCACCCATCCCCCAGTATTAACAATATTTTTATTTAAAATTCCTAAGGTAAGATGTACCCTAAAACTTCTCATTATCATTTTCCTTGTTAGAATTATTGTTGCTGCTAACTACCAAATAAATTGAATCAAGTTTTCTCTCTGACATTCTCAAAAGTGAAGATTTTTCCAGCATTTCATCTGCGGAGGCCAGGGCATCTAGTTGGCATTTCAAGCACTTTATACATAGAGGTGCCAATGGATTGTCCTAAGACCAGTTTCAATTTGTCACTTTTGTGAGACTAGAAGTCTGCGATCATGGTATCGGCAGGCCCTCACTCCCTCTGAAAATCTTAGGAAGGAGTCTCAGTTCTAGTCCTGGTTCCATCTCTGTTGCTGTGATAAAATACTCCAACCACAGACAACTGAAGGGAGAACTTATGTTAGCTTGTAGTCCTAGGCTGCAGTTCATTGCCATGAAGGCAAGGCAGGAACTTACAGTAGCTGGCCACACCACATTCACGGTCAAGAGCATAGAGAAACGAATGCGGGCATGCTTCCTCGCTTGCGCTCAGCTTATCTGCTCTGCTCATACACACTTCAGAACCCCCTGCCCAAGGCCTGGTGCCTCCCACAGTAAACTGGATATTCCCACATCAATTAACTTAAGACAGTCTCCCACAGAGACACTCATAGGCCAACCTAATATAGACAGTTCCTAATCCAAACTCTCTTCTCAGTGATTCCAAGTCATGCTAAGTAGGCAGTTGAAGCTCACTATCACAGTCGGGAAAATGTTTGCCGGGAAAGTGTGCAGAGCTTGGTTCTGATCCTCAGCATTCAAGGAAAAAAGTGAAGTGTGTCTGTGCACACCTGTAATGGCACCAAGGAAGTGGAGACAGGAGAATCCCTGGGGCTTGCGGACCAGCCAGTCCAGCCTACTGCTGAGCTCTAGAATCAATAAGAGACCCTATTTCAAAAGAATAATAATCAGAAGAAGGAAAGTAATTATGGAAGATATACTCAGCACTGACCTCTGATCTACACACACACACACACACACACACACACACACACACACAGATTCCAGGGGGGACCACATTGCCTCTTTCCAGCTAGCATGCTTGCCACCCATTCTCAAATTCTTTGGCTTTGCATACTCGAGCGCCTGGCATCTGATCTTCCTCTCTCAGGCTCTGTTTTCTCATGTTCTAAGGACACCAGTCATTGGATCAAAGCCCACTCTAACCCAATATGAACTGATCTTACCTAATCATATCTGTAAAGACTCTCTTTCCAAAGAGGTCATGTGCTGTAGTTTGGAATAGACACCAATGACCCAGAACATTCCACCATATAAAATTGTTTTGAAAATTAAATTAGAGACAACATGTAAAGTTCATAATAAGTAAACTGAAAAATAAACCTCTTTGATATTATTATTTCAGTTGTGAAGTTGGAGCTGCTGAGAAAGTATAATTCATAAGCAATTCTCTCATTGACTGTACGTAGTGTTTATTTTAGGTAATTAAGTCAGTGAATGGCGCCTGGGCACCAGAATATGTTTTTTAAGTACTCCAAGTGATTCTTCCATGTAGTTAGGGTTAAACCTTAACTCCCAATTAACAGGCCCTCCCTGTGCTGTGCTGGAGAAGCACCCTCTCGAAGTAAGTCTATGTGTGGCTACTCACCCATGAACATACAAACGGAGGAGAGCCCAAGTCAGACTGCTATGGTAGCAGTCTGTTAAGGAAAGTTGTAGCTGGTCAGCTTGAGAGAGTTGCTATGTGGGCTGTAACCAGAAAGGCCTGAGAGCTGCAGCTTTCTAAGCTCTTGGTGTCACAACATGTGCCAAACACGGAGCTACAAGACTGAGTTTGTGCCTTGCTGGGTATGAGTGCTGCTTTGGCCTCTTTATGATTGGCCTGTTTCTTTCTTGGGGATGTGTTGTAGTTTGAATGAGAATGGCTTACATTTTCTTTAACAGGAAGTGGCACTGTTGGAAGGTGTGACTTTATGGGTGTAGTATGGCCTTGTTGGAGGAAGTGTGTTACTGTGGAGGTGGGTTTTGAAGTCTAGTGTTTGTTCAAGCTTTGCTTAATGTGATACTCTGTCTACTTCCTATTGCCTGCATATCAACAAGTAGCCGCTACCTCTCCAACACCACGTCTGCCTGCACACTGCCATATCCTACCATGATGATAAAAGACTGAACCTCGGAACTGTAAGCAGGTCACTCCAATTTAAATGTTCTTATAAGAGATTCCATGGTCATGGTGTCTCTTCACGGCAACAGAAACCCTAACTAAGACAAAAGCTGGTACCAGGGACTGAGGTATTGCTATAATAGCTGGACCATGTTTTTGTTTGGAAAAATATGGACTTTGGTACTTTGGGCTTGGAAAACAGTGGAATGCTTTAAGCACTGCGTAATGGACCATACTGATCAGAGCATGGAAGACAGTGGTGCTGAGTGTGATTTGATGAATGGGGGGGGGGGGGGGGGGGCGGGGCGGCTACCTCAAGAGGTTTCAGAGAATTTTAATATGTGGCTTAGAGATAGTTCTTGTGATATTTTGGTGAAGAATGTTGCCCTTGTCCAAAAAGTCTGCCTGAAGTGAAAGTGAAGAACTTTGGATTAATTCCATTGGCAGAGGAAATCCCCAAACAAGCTAATATAGACTCTGTCATGTGCTTATTAGTTAACTCTGACGAAGACTTACAATGCAAAGGAGCAAACTAAGAAAATAAAAATGCAAAAAAGTACAGATTGAGAAAAGGGACACCAGGAAATAGAATAGAGCTAAATCCTGTGTTCAAGGAGATAAACATATTCAGAATAAAGAGAGTTGTAGTAACCTCGGAGCAAGAGCTTATCCAGCTAAATATCCAATTTGTAAAAAGGAATCAAAGAAAAGCTTAGAGCCAGATGTGATGGTATATGCCTTTAATCCCAGCACTGGGAAGTCAGACGCTGATAGATGTCAAAGTTGGAGGCCAGCCTGGTCTACAGAGCAAGTTCCAGACTAGACAAGCTTAGGCAGTGAAGAAAGCCATGGAAAACAGAAAGTGGTGAAGTTGTAATTAGACAAGATGTAATTAATCCATGTTCCAGCCCTAGCAAGAAGTAGAACTTGGCGGCTTCAGTGGTGGTATTGGTTTTAGAGTCAAGGACAGAAGAAAGGGGTTATGGAATTTCTCTCCACGCTTAAGGAAAGCCACTGAGGTCAAGGCATGTGTCAGGGGTGCCCCTGAATAGAGGTCTAGAGAGGCCATTGCCTGAAGCTATGAAGCTGAAGCCTGGTGGAGACATCAAGATGTTGCAGATGCCTCAGCCATGGGGTACCTGCCCAGGAGAGCTGCTAGCAGGGGTGGAACCAGCCCAAGAGAAAGAAGTGTGTTACAGTCAACAAATCTGAAAGGAGTTGGAAATCTGAAGAGCATTTTGACATCAGACATGGAGATATGGAGTTTAGTGTTTGCCAAACTGGTTTTTTGTCTTGCTTTGGCCCAGTATTTCCTCACTTTGCTTCCCTTTTGGTATACCCCATTATTTGTGGGAAGTACGTGACCTGCTTTTTAGCTTTGTTCCCCCCCCCCCCCAGGGGACTACAGTTAAGAGACTGCAAGAACCTCAGAAGAGACTTTGTACTTAGGACTTTTAAATAAGTTTGATACTGTGATAGACTATGGGAACTTTGGAAGTTGGGCTGAAAACATTTTTGTCTTAGGATATGTTTATAAGCTTTTGGGAGCCAGGGAGTAGAATAACCTCCTGACAGAAGCTAGATAGATATATTTTTTTTTGGAAGACTAAGCATAGCCCATCAACATGTTTGCTATCTCAAGGCCCTGATGAAGGGCAAAGAAATAGCACTGCTTACAATCTCCAGAGAAGGCTTGAGGGAGGGGTGAGGGTATTGGGAAATCTATTTATTTTTCTTCTTTCCCTGCCAAGCTCCTCCTCCTACTACTCAATTCTTTTATGCAATAGGTCCTAGGATATATTTTCAAATAATGTGTCTCTGTCCTGTTCAGAATCACTACCAGAAACTTGAAGCTTCCACTCCCTTCTCCACAATGAACCTCACTGCTACGAATCATCGAATACCTCTAAGTGATGGGAACAGTATTCCTGTCATTGGCCTTGGTACCTACTCAGATCCTAGACCGGTATGTACATACTTACATTTGTGTGTGTGTATGTGGTGTGTGTGTGGTGTGTGTATGGTGTGTGTGTGTGTATATATATATATGTGTGTGTAGTGTGTGTGTGGTGTGTGTATGGTGTATGTGTGTATATATATGTGTGTGTGTGTGTGTGTGTGTGTGTGGTATGGGTTGTGTGTGTGTATATATATATAGGTGTGTGTGTGTGTAGTGTGTGTGTGGTGTGTGTATGTGTGGTGTGTGTATGTGTGGTGTGGGGTGTGTGTATGGTGTGTGTGGTGTGTGTGTGTGTGGTGTGTGTATGTGTGGTGTGTGGTGTGTGTATGGTGTGTGTGGTGTGTGTATGTGTGGTGTGTGGTGTGTGTATGGTGTGTGTGGTGTGTGTATGTGTGGTGTGGGATGTGTGTGTATGGTGTGTGTGTGTGGTGTGTGTATGTGTGGTGTGTGTGTGGTATGGGGTGTGTGTGTGTATTGTGGTGTGGAGTGTGTGTGTATGTGTGGTGTGTGTGTGGTATGGGGTGTGTGTGTGTGTGTGCATGTGTGTATAATAATAAAAGCAAGATCCAGTGACTACTATCAGTGACTACTGTTTACCTGAATGGACTTTATTTATTTATTTTTTATTTTATTTTATTTTTTTGGTTTTTCAAGACAGGGTTTCTCTATAGCTTTGGAGCCTGTCCCGGAACTAGCTCTTGTAGACCAGGCTGGCCTCGAACTCACAGAGATCCACCTGCCTCTGCCTCCTGAGTGCTGGGATTAAAGGCGTGCGCCACCACCACCCGGCCCTGAGTAGACTTTAAATCAAAGGTTGAACTCCATCAATTTATGGCTTAACATCGTCCCATTACAGAAATCGATTTGTTTTTCTTTTTCCTTGAAAGTCAGCAGAAGGCTAACTCGGGTGAAATGAGGGGCATGGAATTTGTGAGTGTATTATTTATAAGCTCCTTTTAATTTTTATCCAAAAATTTGTAGTGCAGTCTAACAAGCATCTAAGGAACACCTGCCACGCAGGCATATCCAAGCTTCTTGAACTGCAACACAGTGTCATCAGCTACAGAGTTCATGCTCTAAAGGACTGAAAACAAAGTAGGCTTGTGAATTTGTGTAGAGATGCATTCACAGACACCCAAGTCCCAGATGTGGCCTGCAGGCTGCCAGCAGGGGTCACCTGTACACACGAGTCTGCAGAAACTTCTCGTGTGAAGAGAATTGTCTTGCTATGTAGGCACTTCAACTCCAAGAGAAAACATAGACTCCTTACCAACTGTAGAAGCAGCAAAGGTAGAGTCTGGTCCAATAGCTGAAGACTCAGGAAGGAGAAGAATCAAAATCACTGCACAGAAAAGGATCTGCATAGAATAATCCTTCCCTCAGTGAAGTTTGGGGCTGATATTGCTTATCAGAGTCACTTTGACCACGTGGTAATGCAGACTGTCAAGGTGATGAGCATGAAGGGAAGGGGCCAAACTGGCCTCTTCATGGTGACTGGGAAGCAGACACAAAGTGAGGGTGTCAGAGAAGCAGCACTGGGGTCTTGCTGAAGCCCGTGTGAGCTCATGTCACACTTCCATACCCTATCAATCACAAATTCCACAGTCCTGCACTCCAAGCCTTTGTACATTAGCGGATTCATCAGTTAGCCAACCAGCTCTTATCATTCTCCCTATGAGCAAAGCATGATCCAGGACTGAGGAGATGGCCAGACGGGTGAAGGGCCTGCTTCACAAACATGATTTCTGATCCCTGGCACCCACATAAAAAGCCAGGCATGGTGGTATATGTCCCTAACCCCAGTACTGTTGGAGCAAGACAGGCAGATTCCCAACACCTCATTGGCTAGCCAATCTAGACAAAACTTAGAACACAAATTCAACAAAAGACCTTGTCTCCAAACCAAACCAAACAATTAAAAACAATAGAAGAGTATGAGGCTAGCAAATTTGGCTCAGTGGGTAAAGGGACTTGCTGTCAAGCCTGATAATATGAGTTCAAATCCTGGAACCAATACGGTAGAAGGAGAGAGCTGACCCCACAGGTCATCTTCTGTCTTCCACAATTGCACCACAGACTATACCTGAAATTGATCCCTGGCCTTCATACACACATCCACCGGTGAGTGTACTCACACACACAAAGATATACACAAATACAGACCCAAAACAAAACAAGGAATATGATCTGAGTTTCATAGGAACTCTCTCGTGTCAATACCTTTGAACACACGGTCCTCTCTTTCTCTACCTACACCTCCCTGTCTTTGGACTTGCTTATTTGTCTCCCACTGAACTTGGAGTGTATGTGTGAGTGGATGTGCAGAGATGTGTACCTGTGCACATGTGTTTAACTGTTTGTGGAGGCCAGGGGTTGACATTGGGTGCCTTTTTCAGCTGCTCTCCACCATATTTTTTTGAGACAGTGGGAGTCTCAAAAAACCTAGAACTCACCAGCTGCTACGTTGGTAGACCAGAAAGTTTCAAAGATCTGCGTGCCCATCTCTGTTATTCAACCCAGCAGTGGGGATACAGACTCACCCCATCATGCTTTGCTTTTACATGCATGCTCAGGCCCTCACGCTAGCGTGGCATACTGTTTACCAGCTGAGCCATCTCCCAGCCCCCTCTACAAAATGTTTAAGGCTCAAGTCAAAGAATGTCAAAGGATCCCTCTTCCTTCTTATTACATGACTTACATATGTGTTCACACCAGCCCCTTGTTCTCCACTCTATAGCACTTATCACAAGGTCGCTACTAACACCCTGCAATCTTTCTCAGCTGCCTGAGATGTCTATTAGAAAAGACCACTGCTTGTTCAACTCTAGAGTCTCCTGATGTCTAGTATATGGTGCACAGTTAAATAGCACTTACTAATCTAATGGAAACATTTGTCAGAGGGATGTGCACATCAGAGGTTATGGAGATATAACTAGAGTTTATTTATGCATATGAGTGTTTTATTTGCATGTATGCCTGCATGACAAAACAGGGCCTCAATGCCTATTACTGTTGTTAGCCACCAAGTGGTTGCTGGGAATTAACACAGGACTTCTGATATGCCACGGACCGGCTCAGGGGAGCCACTCAGACCATGGGAAAAGCAGGGTCTTGGTAACAGGAAGGCACAAGTTAGGCGAATGACAGACAGACACAACACACAAGAGAGTGGTTGGAATCTGCTGCAATTTTACTGAATTCATGTTTTCATTATATAATATTCAAACAAAGAACAAATTAGAAGGTCATGTATCATTAGTTGGCACAGTATGAAAGCTGCTTTTAGTCACATCAGCAATATTTAAGAAAGGTATATTGTCAGGAACAGGTGTTAGACATAAAGCATCCTTAGAAGAGGAAATCTTGTCCTTGGGTATGTAAACCTCAGGCAAGTGGTTTCTTCTTATGAATAGAAAGTTTCTGTCTCATTATCGCTATCATGGCCCTTCCTCTTCCTAACCCTTTATTTCATCTAGTGACCAAATATGCCTAATCAGTTCTCTGCACCTGTTGATATATACTTTTTAGTACCTTCTTATGCAGCAGACATCATGGGGGTTGGGATCTAGCAAGCCTATCCATAAAGTTGAAAGTATAATATAACAGTCTTTGTCCATCAACATTAACCCATCTATTCCCTTGCTCATCATACACCCCATGTATGACAAAGGTTCTGCTGTAGTCTTATACATTCCCATACTGTGCTTCCTTGTCCCAGAGCTATTCCTGAAGAGAATGATCCTTGTCTTGTGTGTGTGTGTGTATATATATATATATATATATATTATCATTATTATAAAAGAGATTGTGCAAAGCTCATATCCCACATAGCCAGCTAATCGAGAAACCCGTCTATGCCTCAGCTGTGGCTAATACCAGGCTGTCTGCCATTGAACACCAGGAAGCCTAATCCCATGGGACACGTAGCTCCCGTCCGGCATAATGACATATGTCATGTCACACAGACGACACTGGAGTTGGTGTGGCACTGATAAATAGAGCTTAAAAAATAATAGCTAAAAGTGTTCCAGACACTTAACTATGTGCCAGGATCTCTGACCATGCTTTGTACTACACGCACTTTCTAATGTAATTCTCATATTACAAAGCCAATGCCACTTAGGCCCTCTGACCGATAGAAAACATAGGAAGATTGAACACATTGCTCCAGATGAAGGCTGCCGAGTCCCTGAACTGAGATGGGAGCCCACGTCGTTTTACGTCCAGACCTCAGACTCTGCACACTGTTTTGGGGATACCGATCAAATCACGTTTCTGAAGCTACAATATGAAGGGCAATCTGGAGTGGATAGATGGAGTACTGAAGGGGGCAGTCCTCTACAGTTTGTTTTAGCGCCATGATCTTCCAATCATGACAGCACAGAATTGGGAATTGTTACGTGGGCTATAAAATGATATATTATGGGATGTCCTTTTTTTAACACGAACTTAAAATCCATTTCTCTTTTCCCTCCACTTCTCCTCTTTATCACATAAGGTCCCTAGGGAGACCTATAAGGCGGTGAAAATGGCCATTGATGAGGGGTACCGGCACCTTGACGGGGCCTACGTCTACCACAATGAACATGAAGTTGGTGAGGCCATCAGAGAAAAGATAGCAGAAGGGAAGGTGAAGAGAGAAGAGATTTTCTACTGCGGAAAGGTGAATCATTTCTTTCTATGTAGATATGGTGAACATGGCCTAGGGTTGGGGGAGGCAACTCAGTAGAATAGCATGCACAGAACCTAGACATGATCTCAAATATTGGAACACAATAAAAGAAAGAAGAAGAGTGGGGAAAAGGGGAGGAGAAAATGGGCAAATTATCATTTGAAATCCTTTAATTTGCTGAAAAACATACCTGTGTATGCATACATATCAATTAAGCCTAATAAAGCACACATACTGAAATACAACCGTAAGTGAACAGAAAGACTATGTCTGATTTGATGGAAAGGCTGGTCACTTTGTGTAGCACGAGTTCTAATAGGTTTTAGTAATAAAAGCCCAGAGTCAGATATTGGGAGAAACGCTGAGAGATCAGAGAGTCGAAGGAACCAAAGCACAACCACCTTACCTTTCAACTTCCCATCTGAAAAAGAGATAGAGTTCCTGTCTCCTCCCGCCTTATCACTTCCTCTGTCCGCCCAGCCATATCACTCACTTCCTGTCTGTCTGCACAGGCCTCCAGACCTCTATGGTTAGCTAGTGGCTAACTCCACCCTCTGATCTTCAGGCAAACTTTATTTGTACAAACAAGATATAACCACAGCCTTGCTCCGTTAAGATCTCTTTCCACTGCAGCACAGCCAACATCCAAGGGCAGCGTGTGGCGGAGGGTGAATGCACAGACTTTGCTGCTTGGTTTTTGTTGCAGTTTGGATAAGAATGACCCCCATAGGCTCATATGTTTGCATGTTTAGTCCTCAGTTGGTAGACTGTTTGGAAGGATTAGGAGGTGTAGCCTTGTTGGAGAAGGGGCGTACATGTTGAAGGAGATGTGTCGCTAGGGGTGAGCTTTGAGGTTTCAAAAGCCCAAGCTAAGCCCAGTACTGTGTCTGCTTACTGTCTGTAGATCATGTAAAGCTCTCAGCTACTGCTCCAGTGTCTGTCTGTCTGCTTGCCATGATGATGATTTGAAACTGCAAGCAAGCCTCCAATGAAATGCTTTCCTTTGTAAGAGTTGTCTTGGTCATGGTGTTCTTGTCAGCAATAGAATAGTGACTAAGACAATTGCCCGGGTCAGAAAACATTCGCTACCGCAACATAATACAAGAGAATATATAGAGCAGCTAGCTGCTTGACCTGGCTGGGAAGTTTTAGCATTTCCAGACCTTGGTTTCCCTCTTTAAGGTGGGAATCATAAAGCCAAGCATTTCATAAACTTATGAATTAGCATTTACAAAGCACTTAAATGGTACCTAGCAAAAAACTAACATTTTACATCTTTGTTGAGCAAAAGAATGTTAAAGAGGTCCTGTGATTTAATCTATTCAGGAGGCTGAGGCAGGAGGATCATAGCTCAGTGCCTGCCTGGACTACAGGTAGAGTTCAAAGACAGCCTAAATAACTTAATGAAGCATGATTAATAAAACTCAGAGAGGGAAATTGAGCTTAAACCTGAAGGTCAGAAAAGCAAAGCAGTCAGCCACTGGCTCTTACCTCTACCTCAGTCCGAAAGGGTGATCCTGCCTCCAGGAATCTCAGAATGAGACTGACTGAGAGCTGTCTCCTCCCGTTTTATATTCCTCTCTAGTTCTAGGATTAAAGGCATGCACCATTACTGTCTGGTTTCTATGGCAAGCTAGTGTGGCTGCTGGGATTAAAGGTGTGTGTTATTCCTGACTGGTCTATAAGGCTGGCCAGTGTGGCTGTTTACTTTTCTGATCCTCAGGCAAGCTTTATCCTCAGGCAAGTAAAACACCACTACAACTTAACAAGCCTTCATCTTCATAGTTAAAAAGGAATTTGGCTGTAGCTCAGTGGTAGAGTGTTTACCTAGCACGAATGAGGTCCTGGGTTCAATCCCCAATATCACAGAAAGAAAAGAAAAAGTGAATTAAAATGGAAAATGGGATTTAACTTGGATGGGAAGGCAGCGGTGATGCCAGTGGACCCCGCAGTAGTAACAGAAGCATTTTTCTACTATTCTCTCTCTCCTTTACTTTTCTCTATTCTATGCTCCCTCCCCACCATCACTAGGGTTTGAACCCAGGGCCTTGTGCATGCAAGGCGGGCACTGACTAACCCAAGCTACATTCCCCACCTTTTAAGTGGTATATGTATATGTGGGTGTCTGTGCAGGTGTGTGTAGTGTGTGTATGCGCATGCCAGAAGCCAACTTCATTCCTCAACAGTCACCCATCTTGTTTTTTGAGATAGGGTCTTACTGGGGACCACTGATGAGGTGAGGCTGGCTTCCAGCAAGCCACCTTCCTCTCTAGTGCTTTGATTATGCATAGCCTTTGTGCATGTGCTACCAAGACTGGCTTGAATTCTGGTCCTCATACTTGTATGTCAAGCCCTATACTAACTGAAAGACCTCACCAGCCCATTCCCCTGACCGTCCCCCTGACCAACTAACTCTTCTTTAACCTTTAGTTTGAGACAAAGTCTTGCCCAATTGTCTAGTCTGGTCTAGAGCTCACTCTGTGCCCTTTTGCCACAGCCTCCCAAGTAGCTGACATTGCAGGTGTGTGCCATTATGTTTGTCTGTTTTTCTGTGCTTTCAAGACAGGAATGAAACTGGGAGCCTAACTTTCCAATTTTATTTCCTGTCACAGATAGGGTTTTAAAAGTCAATCTTCTCCCCCCACCCTTCCACCGAAAAGCCTTGGAACAAAAGTTATGCTACCAGAAAAATGTACTAACATATGTGACCACTGCTGTTTGTTTTACGCTTTGGCATGAAAACCAGACCTTCTGCATCCAGCATCTAACACTTGGGGTGTGGAGTGAAGCCTTAGCAAGAATTGGCAGGATTGCCCTGGGGTATGAGACCGCATGAGACTGAAGACCAGAGGAGTGTCATAGAGGTGTCAAAAGTCTCATCAACTCTTCCTTTGCTCGGATGTGAGAGGAGCAGATGACATGTGTATGAGGGATTCACTATGAGAAGGTGGAAGTATGTATATATTATCTCACTGTGCTCCTCAACTTTCTTTCCAGCTGTGGTCTACAGATCACATCCCCGAAATGGTCCGCCCAGCCCTGGAAAGGACGCTAAAGGTCCTCCAGCTAGACTACGTGGACCTTTATATCATTGAGTTACCCATGGCTTTTAAGGTAAGCTCAAGTACCCGCGTACCGCTTCGAGCGCTGTTCCTTATTGCTCTTTCTTTAGGAGCACAGAATGCTACCGTGTTTGTGACCGGAGATGGGAGGATGCCGGTCTTGCCTGACACAACCCCAACAAATAATGTTAACAGGTTTGGGCCCAAGTTTCTTAACTGCAAGAGAACCGCTCCAGCTGGGTTAGGGTCCTAAAGAGGAGGTGCGCAGCTAGCCAGGGGAAGCAGAGGGGGTGCGGGTCACACAGCTGAGCGTGATTCAGGATGACTGCATTTGTTGAAATAAGGCTTTATCTTTTATACTCCATAGTTTAGCCACAGGCAAGACTGAAAACGGGCTCAATGATTCAAGGAGAAATCATTACAGCCACTGACTTCATTACAGCATTCTTGTTGAGACAGACCTGATAAGTTTAGCAAGTGTCTAAATGCTATTGTTCTCAAACATTCAGTAAATCCACCAAGCGCCCTCTTACACCAGTGGAAGAGCCACAGGTTCCTCCTGTCAGAGATGAGGAAATCGACTCCCTTTAGCAAGCAGGAACTGTCCTCCAGCTCCCGAGGGAACGGAGGCCCTCATCCAAATGCCTGACTTTGGGAAAGGACTTCTGGGGACCAGACACTCAACTACAATTTAAGAACAATTTTCATTCCTCAAGGGACATACCACATAAACACTGAGCTGTTCCCTAATGTGTCCCTTTGTGACTTAGTCTTATTATATGGGTCTGCTTCCCTCAGAAGCTCCCAAAAGGGAAGGGCCTGATGGCTCACTCTTTTCCCGTATTAAGGCACCATTCTGATTTCCCTACACTTACTAACTGACTTCCTGCTGTCAATGGCCTCAGACTCTGGATCTGGACTATGGACCTTTCATCCTTGGGGTCAGGTGTATCCGGTCGATAAATCTCTAACTTTCCTGTTCCCGGTGTAATCAGGAGGGCACCATGACCAGAGTCATCGTGCTACCTCCATGGGATCATGGTGGTAGGGTTGGGTTTTTTTTTCCAAATAATTATTTTGTTTAAAGAGGCTGACATCTTATACATTTCATCCTTCAAAGCCCACACAAAATCTCCCAAAGGAAAAGGCAGAAGGGAACTCCCATAAGACATGGTGAGAATCAGTAAAATTAAAGCAATAAGGTCCTGGAGAATTGTGGTCTGCAATGTAGGAATACTGGAACCCTGCCAAGCAGCAATTGTCACCATGTGGTCCACACCACTTAACTCAGTGCACTTTCTATTATACATGTTTTTTATTTTACATAATATTTTTATTGATTTCACCAACCACAGATTCCTTCCCCCCTGCTCCTCTCTTACCCCCCCCATACACTCCTCCTCTGGCTCTATTTAGATAAGACCTCCCATGAGAATCAACAAAGCATGGCACAACAGGTTGAGACAGTGTACCAGCGTAAATGAATGCAGCCAGAAATTTAATAAATATATACAGCTTTAATTGGGAAATAGATTTACAGAACCAGAGGTTCCCGCGGAGAACAGGAAAGCAAGAAGGGGCGGCTGGGAGCACGCCCGCAATCTTTATAAGTAAAAAATATCCTCGGGGGACCCCGCCCTACAAGTAAGGTGATTGGCTGAGTCTCTCCTACATCTCCCCTTTTTGTCTAAATAAGATAGAGCCAAACCAAATACAACTATATACAATAGTAACAAATAATAAATATAACAAACAATATTGAGCAAGAAACATATAACAAAAGTTTTGCTAAACATTCTATCTCAAGGAGTCTAAATAAGGTAGAGAGTAACTACAATTATCTAATCTTCAACTCCGTTAAAGATCTGAGAAGGGAATTAATATTACTTAACAAACAAGAGATATCCAAAATGGGCAAAAAATGACAGAGACAACTGACTACCTGGGCAATCACCCAAAGTCTCGTTTGCAATGTTGAGTCAACCAACTTTGGCTAAGGCCTAACATAACTGACATACCATTATTAAAGGCAAGGAACTTTCTTAGAACTATCCTACCCTGTCTTGGCAAGATAAGACAATCCTGTTTCATCCACTTATGGATATTCTGTATCTTTGTCAGTAGTTGAGGTATGTGCTTTTCTTAACCCAAAGGCCAGTTCTGCCAAGAAGACAAGCTCCCAGTGGAATGTCTTTGGTGCTCAACGTTCTCTCGGGATTAGAGTGGCGTTGCCAGGAGTGATTGTGTCTCGTTGGCACAGAATTCTAGGTTAGATTAAAGGCCATATTCTACAGCTCTTCGAAGAGGCTGAAGATCATATTATCTATACTAAATATAATCTCTATGTATCTAAAAAACCTGATTAACCTAAAAATAAATATGACAAACATATAATTCTCAATACCTATCTAACTTGAAGACTAAGAGAATAAACAACTGTGTAATATATGAAGACAATGATCTTTAATTGCAAACAATGTCATTACATATCAAATGTAAACAATGTTATTATATAAATAGTATCAGAGGTAGAAATGTACATTGTAATATGGTAGATGTATCAATACAATATAGACAAAGTTATAAGCATATTCTTATATAAAAATAGAGGTAGGAACACTCACATTCAATATTCAATATATCAATATACAAGAAACAGTACCAATACACTTTTCTAAAAACACTAAATCACAAATACCAATCATCCCATCAAACCAGTTAATCTCCCCCCCCTTTTTTATATATACCCCTAATTCCATAATATATCTTCCATCCCCTCAACCCTAAACCAACCAGTAAATGATGTCCCTAACCCTGAGGGCAAACTCTGTTGGGAGAAGGGACGTCGTCCTCTAAGATTGCTTCTAGCTGACAAGGGGGCGACATTCTTCTTAGGGGGTCTTGTGAAAGCAAATGATGGTAAAATTTCCAAATTAACCCTTGACCTAAGAAAACTGTAAGTAGTCTCTGAGCATTTTGAGAAGGTCGGCCAGAGTGTTGTCAAAAATGTGCATCATTCGAAATTGTCTCCTGCAGTTGGTACCAAAAAACAGGTCTAATTTTAGCGCTTAAAAAAAATTCATGACGTCATAAAAACCAGATTGAGTTGATGTCGTGGGGCCCCATCTTTATCCTGGAAACTTCAAAGATTACTGTAGGAAAATTTGTTGTTTGTTATGGGAAATTTAAACATTAACTACAAAGACATATACTGACATGTAAAAAAAGACACAGATATGAGGAAAGGCAAAGAAAGTTTATCAAGTATATAATTATTTTTATTCTGTCCCATTTCATGGCTCCTGACCTGAGACAGAAACTCTGAAATATCTCTTATCAACAGGCTTGGGATTGAAGACGGACTGAGCCATAGTCCAACTACAAAACCAGCTCTACATATTTATAAAGAAATGTTTAATAAGACATATATATATAAATTAATACTTACAGAACATGTCCATCCATCAGTAATTAAATATTCAGGGTCCCTTAAATTCTTTGAAGATGAGTATTTTCCTGTGGAGATAAGAAAAGAACCCTGCCCCCAACCTATCTGTATTTCTTACCATTAGGATGCTCGACATCCTTGTGAATGAATTGTTATTTATATTTTCCAAGGGGCTTCTCCTCTTCAAACCGAACTTTTATTAATTTTGACAGTATCCACAATTTTTCCTCACCTGTGGAGACAAGAGCAAAACCCCTTCCCCAGCGCAGCACATCTCCTGGCTTCCATTGTGAGGTCAGCACATCCTTGAAATAAACTGGTTGATTTAGTTCAGTGCTTTTCCATTATCTAATGTTTTTCTGCAGCTGTTGTTCCCTTCTCATTAGCGTTGAGAAAATTCAAGGTTAACAAAGCATTATGTAACCTATTTTGGGGAGTGTTTTGCACCCCTTTCTGTTTGTTCAACATATCCTTTATAGTTCGATTTGATCTTTCTATGACTGCCTGACCTGTAGGATTGTGTGGTATACCTGTAACATGCTTGATATTGTAATAATCAAAAAACCATTTCATTTTCCTAGAGACATAAGCAGGACCATTACCCGTCTTTATTTGTATAGGTATACCCATGATAGCCATGACTTCTAATAAATTAGTGGTTACTGAATCAGCTTTTTCTGAACTTAAAGCATTTGCCCATTGGAAGCCTGAATAAGTGTCAATGGTGTGATGAACATATTTTAATTTGCCAAATTCTGCAAAGTGGAACACATCCATCTGCCAGATTTTATTCCTTTGGGTGCCCTTTGGATTAGCCCCTGCTGGCAATGGCGTTTGGTTATAGAAAGAGCAAGTAGGGCATTTCTTTACAATCTCCTTAGCTTGTTGCCATGTAATAGAAAACTCTTTCTTCAAACCTTTGCTATTAACATGATGTTTTTTATGAAATTCAAAGGCTTGTAGCACACTATCAATCAATAATTGATCAATTTCTGCATTACCTTGTGCTAGAGGACCTGGCAGACACATATGGGATCAGATGTGTTATGTACATAGGGCAAAGCCTGTTCCTGATCAAATCTTGAACCTGGATAAACAATGAGGTTAGTTCTGTATCATCAGGTATAAATTCAGCAGTTTCAATATGTAAAATAACTCTTTCTGTGTATTGTGAATCAATAACTATATTAATAGGTTCTTTAAGATCCCTTAGCATCTTAAGAATGGCATATAATTCTGCCTTCTGGACAGAATCATAAGGACTTTGGTCCACCTTACCCAAGTCTTCTGATTTGTAACCTGCCTTCCCTGATTTATTGGCATCAGTATAGAATGTACGGGCTCCGGTTATTGGAGCATCACGGACGATTCAAGGAAGGATCCAAGAAGTTCTCTTTATGAAGTTAAGCCGCTTGCTTTTTGGATAGTTGTTATTAATGTCTCCCAAAAAATTAGCACAAGCTCTTTGCCATGGTTCATTATCTTCCCATAATTTCTTTAGTTCATCAGCAGTGAAAGGCACTATAATTTCTGCTGGGTCTATGCCTGCTAGTTGGCAAAGTCTCAACTTGCCTTTTATAATTAACTCAGAGACTTTTTCCACA